CATATGCGGTAAGTTAATATCATTTATATCTTTATCAACCTTAAAATAAATATTGTTCTACTGGCTATTTATAATAGTAAGGTTTCCTGGGCGTTATACCACTGTTACAGCCATACAAATAACGCTGTGTGTTTTTTATTGATCATTCATTCCTGTAGTTGACTGTGAATCTGGTTTTTATCAACACTCAAGTGATGCTCCGTTTAAGTGTTTACCATGCCCACCTGGAAGTTATCAGCCTGGCATTGGAAGTGCGACTTGTCTGCCTTGTCCTGATGGTTATACAACTTACAAAGATAGTGCATTGAGAATTGATGAATGTGAGACTACTTATTATAATATTCTCAATAATACTTCTTCATTTGATCAGCCAGTTGTTTGCTGAATAATAGAGCATTTTCCAAATTCCGCTGTCGGATTCAACAATATGTAATAATGCGATATACAAATAGTTAGCAATTGCCGCCGCGTGAACGAGTTGCATTGTATGATTTGCCAGCCCAACATAACTTTATGTCTACATTTTTCATATTTAGGTAATGTGTCATTAGTAAGTGACAAGACAACACCGTCTCAGACCACAGTTGTCGCTATTGAACTAAACGTATGTATAAGTCATAAGGATGAGTCATATTCTAATTATATTTAAATCGTTTCTGATGACACTACTGTAGCGTTGTGCTTGTTTGTAATTATGCGTGTTTCCCCATAGTGTAATCTCCGCGATGTATGGTCACATCAGGCAATATATTATGTAGCGTGCTGAGTATTTGGTCACGTGCATATGTATGTTGCATACTGAATTACGGGTAATGGGAAATGTGAAGGGGGCTTAAATGGGTAGAGAGACACACTGCTCGTCGCAGTTTCCCGTTCTTTTGTTTAACTCATTTTATCACTATACGTGTTTTGTTTAATGCAGGATCCTGGTAGTTCTGGTGACATTCTAAGTGTGCTAGATATAACAGCAGTTAGTTGTTCTGTCATTATTTTATTAGGTACGTTGTATTTTAATATTTTAAAATAGATATTAAAATAGTAAATTTGCTCAAACTGTTATTATAGTGTTGAAACTATTGCTGTTACGGAGCATCGTTCTCTCTTACTCTACTAACTCGTGTCTTTTTTTTTCAATTCTTTATTAACGATTTAGTTATCGGCATTGTCATATACTTTGTCGTGAATAGAAGAAATAAACGCGGAGTATATAGGCCAATAGAGAGAAGAGATCTTTCACTCGAAATGGACGAAACGAACAATGACCCCACATCTCAGAATAATTTATATGACAGTAGCTTCGGCATCGATGAGTTGGTCACTGAAATGTGAATTCGCCATCTTTAAATCAACTGAAAATACTCAAAAAACAATTTTGTATTTTAACAATAACAATATTTTGGTCAACTGGAGTTAATCACGATACATTTTTAGTATTAAACACTATTCATAAATAGCGGTTGTCGTCGCGATCACCTGCGATATTTCTGTTGATGAACGGCAATTTCCCTAGAACCCTTTATACCCTACCGGTGAGTGCGAGATTCGATCTGCTTACAATGTGCACTAAATACAGACTTTCACTTCATAGAGTATGTCGATGCTTCCTAATCGTCCTAGGAATTGCCTACTTGAAATGAAGTGTCTCTTCATTGTACGCGTTGATCTGCGAAAATAGCATGTCGTCATCTGTGTTAATATATGACCAATATCACGACGACCACCGCCCTTCAAACTACTGTGAGCTTTGTGTTGATTGAAATATTATGTACCAAGTGAAACAAGATGTAATACTTTTTTTGAATATGATGTAGTTTTTAATAGTTACTACTAATATGTAATTGTATTGTAGTAATCAGGAACTTATACATACTGCTGTTGTGAGATGTGCAAAGCTAAAATTAGTCACAAGTTGAATTGCTCACTGGCGATTCAACTGGAATGTTTTGTGCTTTTAGATTTTTCATCTTAATTGTCAGAAGAGAAATGTATTATGATAGCGATTTCTTTTCCACATTCCAATCCCACGCCGTTAGACTATTGTTTAGATTCAACGAATTGTGTGTTTAGGGTGAAGTTTATAAACATATGTCACATGATTTGATAAATAGAGTGTTTACTTATTGTTTAGTAGTGGCGAGCGTTTGAATGCTTTGACCGTGGGACACATATCTGGTAATCACGTGATCGTGCCGACGACTGCAGTGGCTGATCGCATGGTTACACAACCACGCCTTAGTGTTTGATCTTTTAATATATAGAGAGTTGTAACCTTTTGTAACGGGAGAACGGTGCAGCGAGGGATTATCTATCTTATTTTGAGAGAAGTAGGATGGTTTGAGCCTCTCCCTGGAAGAGCTGGATATTTGGATTTATGACCAGTGTATGCAGACTTATAACCATTATACCTAATCATGGTTTTCATTCATTTGAAATTATACCTTTTGTTATATTAATATTGTGTTTGACCTGCATGACGAGTGTTGAGTGAATGACGATATCTTTGATTTATGAACGTGTTATGCCAGGAGGCATAAGTTTAGTTTGAGAGGGGGATGTGTCATGGATTTATTTCCATGTGTCTAGATACCGACTTGATAGTTGATTTCTGGTGAATAGTTGTTGATATCATTCGATACTTGCCTGTCATCATTTAGGTTTATACAAGGTCCTGGATGGAAGTAGAGTCAGTGATTGGAACTAATTACAGATATAAACTTAGCTGACAGATTGTTATTACTGACAGTTTGGTATTTGTAGTCTCTTAATACGCCGGACAATTAATCAAGTATATATGACGTGTTAAGTACTTCGTGTGATTGGCTACATGCGAGTGGATGTGTGGAGGCCACGCCTCAAAGTCTTAAACTTCCATGTGATAGGTTAAAGTTTGAGAAGTGAATAAAGCTAGTCTTGGGGAGTCGTGGTGAGTTCTCCGAGAGGCGAGCTCTCCACGGGGCGTGACAACTTGGGGTAGACTCGAATTCTATATATGTGTGTGTGTGTCCTTGCTTGGTCGGACGTAACGAACGTAACGATCTCGGATACCTGATATAACGTTTGAGAACACGATAATTAATCCCTCATAGTTGATTGAAATATTAAATTTTAAGTGAAGCAAAATGTAATACATATTTTCTAGATATGGCATAGTTTTACATTTACCATGTACTTCTATTATAGTAATCAGAAATGTATACATAATGCTGCTGGTGTGAGGTGTATTAAGTTAAATTATTCAATAGTTTAATTACTCACTGACGATTCAACTGCAATAAACAGGTTGAACATGCATTTGACATAAGTGCGTGATATAACTACATATGGTATCGGATATGGTATCTTGTCAGCCCATTTTTAATTTAAAGTATGTTTTTTAGTGATTTGTTTTTACTTTTCACGTCCATGTCTACATATTTTGTAGATTTGAAATACAACTGTAAATGATTGATAAGTTAGAACAAGAATATTATTTAGGTGCATGAAATTACATAGAAGAGCATTAGCTGCCCTCGTGGTTGTCGATGCTGATTTGAGTAGTCGTTTACACAAATTGAAATCATGTATTCTAAACAGACATGTCTATAATCATGTGACCTATATCAAACCTAAATTTCAAAACTGTTGGGGATAATGGAAAAATGATTTCAATGCCGTTCACACTGTATATTGTAAAACGCCAGTATATAATATTTTAAAACATTAGTCTCTCCGTTGAGACTGAAATCCAGGTAATTCTAATTAACCCTTGGTCAGCATGACAGTGGCTTTTCGGTGCACTATATACACAATACACGGGCAAAGCTGTCTAAAATCAATTCGAACATTATTTAATAAACCAGAAGTTTAGCAATAAGACCTCATATGTAGCAGATCTTACCAAAAAAAAAAACTGAAATATTAATATTATGCACCACGTCAGGCGTGACGTGCAACCATTTTGACCAAACAACAATAATCCCCCCTCCAAAATCAAGCTGAAACCCGTTGTGTCAGCAAAATTTGCCCCTTTAAAATGCAGGTAATGGCGTTTCAGAAGTTCTAGATTTCAAAATTGTTTATGGGCACGCCCCAGACCCCCTAGTAAGTTCACGCCTTTAGGACGAGGTTGTGAGCAGATCTCGCCCCTCCATGTAAAATTTCGTGCCACCGCCTCTGTTGACCATATATGCCAGCACTTTATTAAAAGAAATCACAGCGCAGCAATTTTGTATTGCATCAATGTAACCAAACCATTTTTATCACAGAGGTGCCATCATTTGAATGTGTTTCAAAACAATTCCTTAGATATATGCATAATACAAACGCTACTTTAAATTATTAAAATCAGTATGAAAACGCACAAACACCTCAAAAATTACAATTCAGACATTTTTCCGAACATACTTCTCTCAAATATAGTCAATCTTTTGAATAAATAACACCCCGTTTATATATGCTTTGACATGTTACAAAATCAAAGAAAGCTTAGAAAGAACTCCCATGTGCGGAGAGTATTGGAGACACATTAAAAATAATTCGAAATTAATTGTACTTGAGATATTGATGAAAAAGCTGAAAGCTAATTATGCAAATCAGAAAATTAATATAAACAGATTCGAGTGTAAAACTAATGAGGTCTGTGCAATGTAACAGATCATCTATGTACCGAGTTTTATTGAAATGTGTTTAGAACCACACAATTATGAATTATAATTTATTCATAATAATACTGTAGGCCTCCGGCCTCAAGGTATACTCATTGTAATTACATAATATTTTACAGAAGACAATGTAAATTTAAAGTGACTGAAAAAGAACAAGAAAATATGAGAAGAACGTGACCTGTCTGACCAAAATAAATCTAGAAATATTACGCAAGATTACTGCATTTTGTAATTGTAATAGCGATATAAATTTTTCGGGTAAAGGAAATGTATAATAATAACTTGGGATGTATTTAAATCTCAACTCTTGGTAAAACGGACAGATAATGCAAAAATGGTACTCGACCTCTACACAATTGGTTACAAACTCTTTCTGTGTGTGTATTATGGAATTTTCTATCAGTTTCAATACTTAGACAATGGGCAGAAATTCTTAGGCGACGCAATGCTTCCCCGTAACAGTCTTTTTGGACTGTTTTAAGATAATTCTATTGACCAAATATATATTCAAATTTTCTATAAAAACACAACTTCGGAAATAACTCGAGCCCACTTTGCCAATTTTGAATATCAATGTCCAAGCATCGCTGTTTGAAAAGCTTTACAAAGTATTCAGAATTCCCCACCCCTTGGTTGTGCCATGCCTCACCCAGACCATAAGAAAAAAGTAACATTTTTAAATTCAGGGCCCAACACTTTTCACCCTTTTCTGCTTCATGGAACTGAAACATGTAATATAAATAGACCAGTCTGTGTCGGGGTAATGATAAAAAGCGAAGCCAGTACTTAATAATCCTAATAAGTCTAAACGTTTTAATAGTAAACCTACCTAACTCTCCCCTTGTAGCAAAATTTGGTGCATTATGATAGACTTTCAATATAAATCGACAGAATTTGTTTTGTATAATTTCAACTTTATTGCCATTGTGAAAGCCCCAGACTTCGCTAGCGTACATTAAAATTGGTAGGATTTTACCATCAAAGACTTTAAACGCAATATTTACATCAATACCGTCAAATTGCGAAATACTTTTCTTGATCACAAACAACGATCCTGACGCTTTTTTGGAAAAACTAGACTGGACATAGTTTCAAAGCCCAGAACTCGACAATACTATACCCAAATAATTATAATAAGAAACAACTTCTAGTTTATGTCCTGCAAGCCACCATTGCTCATTTGATTTCAATCTGCCCCACGCCTAAATACCGTTACTTTAGATTTATCAATATTAACTTTTAGTCTCCATTTATTTGAATAGAGATCAAAATTATTCATAAGACGTTGTAAACCCATAATGGAAGAGCTAAAAATTGCCAAATCGTATGCAAATAACAAATAAAATAATTTTATAGGCGTTATATAAACTCCGGCGTGGCTGTGTTGTATTGCTTCGCCAAGATCATTTACAAAGAGAGAGAAAAAGAGTGGCGATAAAACACTACCTTGTTGGACCCCTACTTCATATTTGAACAACTCAGAAATACCTACTGGGGAGCGAACACATGCCCTGATATCTTGGTACATGGACTTCAATACTTTAAATAGTTTGCCACCCATTCCAGATTTTGTTAGTTTATAAAAGAGTAAGGTGTGGTTAATCCTATCAAATGCCTTTTCAAAATCTATAAATGCGCAGTATAATTTACTTCCTAATGACAAATAACGATTAATAATGGTTGATAAAACAAATAAACTGTCAACTAATGAATAATTTTTACGGAAACCAGCCATCCATAGGATAGTGCAAGTTGACCCAATTAAGCAGACGGTGATATATAATATCACTGAAAACTTTTGTCATCGATGGCAATAATGTAATACCTCTATAGTTATTAACTAAATCTCTTCCACCCTTCTTATAGACAGGAATAATTAAGCCATGTACCCGTTGTGGAGGGAATATACCAGTATTAAG